AAAAAAAAAATTGCATGGGGAGCAGATTAGTCATACAATCTCAAAGCATCACTCTACAAGTTATTTATTACAAAGAAGAAGAGCATTTTTACAATGAAATGTACTGCACAACCAGAGCATCACCAAAATAATGTACAAGGCTAATTATGTGTTGCACTGGAGAGCACACCAGCAATGTAGTATTTTGACATGATTCAAATAATCAGAGTATTTGCTGTGAGTCTAATAATGAGTAAGGTACCAGAACATGCAGTGTGAAACATTACAAAACAACGGGCTTGACTTCTTCAATGCTATCAATACCAAGGAAAAGGGAGGAAGACGGATTAGGGAGCTAATAAATAAGACTAGAAGAATGGACTAAAAAGGCAGGACAGCTAAATGCAATGCATGATCTTCAACTGCATCCTGATCCCAAACAGACAAAGAGAAACAGCTTTAAAGACATTATTGGGACAATGAAAGAAATCTCAGTATATCCTATAGCTAATAATAACTGTATCAGTATTAAACTTCTTGGGTGTCAGACTATCATTATATAGAAAAATGTTCTTTTGGGGAGATCTGTAATTAAGTATTCTAGATGAAACATTTAGTATTTGCAACTTACTTTCAAATAGTTTAGCCAGTAGTGGGGTGTGTGTGTGTGTGTGTGCGTGTGCGTGTGTGTGTGTGTGTGTGTGAGAGAGAGAGAGAGAGAGAGAGAGAGAGAGAGAGAGCACGTGCGCATGCAGAGACAGAAAAAAAAAAAGTACAAGTAGCAAAAAAAGCACCCAGTGCTTTTTTTTGGGGGGGAGAGGGGATGGTACCAGGAAATGAATCCAGGACTTTCACACCGAGCCCTATCCCCAGCTCTTTTTTTACTTTGAGCATAGTTCCCACTACATTGCTAACTTGCCTAGTCTAGGATCAAACTTGCAATCCCTGTCTCAGCCTCCCAGAGTGGTGGGATTAGAGGCGTGTACCACCACACCTGGATCTGAAAGAAAACATCTTTCTTATGGGAATATTTATGTATTCTAGTAGTGACTGAAATTTTCCAAATATAAACTTGGGAAAATAAATTTAAAACACTACATTGGTTTTATGAATTTCACAATGCTTTAAGGTAAAAGGAAAAACTCGAGAGCAGTAATAAAATCACTGGCGCCAGTCCCAGAAGTGGCTGGAGGCATTCACAGGACCCCTCCAGGACATAATGAGTTTGATTCTCTGTAATACCATCCTATGTGCAAACAGTGCAGAACTTCTCAAAATAACTGGCCTAACAAAAAGCTAAAGTTGTTGGAAGAAGTGCCAAACTACCCACAGTACTGGCAGTCATAGGTGGCTGGCCTATGGGCAACATATACTCTCTTCTTCGCTGTCCCTAAGATTCTAAACTTCTACAATGCACCTTGTAGAATTATACTACCTTCATGATAGGAAACAAAAATAAAAAGTACACATAATATTAAAAGAAAAAAAGGGACACTCTGACTGCCCTATTTCCCAAACCTGTCTATCACAGGACAGAGGCACGTGTTTCGAAAACCCTACCCCAGGCCCTCCTTCCCTCAGCCTCTTGGTATCAGACCGTCCAGGAGAGGCTCTGGGCTGATGTGTCCAGCATGGCAGTTGGGAAAACAATGTCTGGAGATGGAGGAAAAAACACCAAAGTGCCACCTTCCTGAGGCAGCCCACGAACTCCTCTTATTCTAGCCCCTTGCTCAGGCTCTGTTACTCCAGCTGCGTAACAGTCTGGTTATAATCTGGCTTCTCACTCAGCATGCCTACCTGATGAAAATACATCTGCCTAAGGATGGGGGACTCGAGCTTTCCTAATACCCATTTTTCTACTATAAATGAATAAATCTATAAAACTGATTAATCTGTCCCTGTGAACCTGAATATAAACTTTCCCTAGAGAGGTTCCAATCTTAGGCTGCTGATTTAGCTCAAATCTCCTGGCATCAACTCTGCATCCTGTGGGCCAAGAAAGTTGATATTAGCACAACATTCCAGAGTAGTTCAAGCCAATATCCTCAAATTTAGAAAAAAGTCTTAGGCCAGGCAGATAGCTCAGTGGACTAAAGTGCTTGCTTAGGCAGAGTGCAGCAGCCAGGGTTCAATCCCTGGTGTGCCATGCCAATCCCAGCCCTGGGGCATGCTGAGATGGTGACTGAGACTCAGCGTGGTGGCACACACCTGTAATCCCAGCACTTGCAAGGCTGAAAACAGAAGAATCACTACAGGGGCCAGAGAGATGGCTCAGTAGAATAAGTGCTTCCCTGGCAAGCGCAAGGGGCTGAGTTCAATCCCCAGTATGCCCAAAAAAAGAAAAAGAATCATTACGAGTCCAGTCTACGTAGTGAGACCCTGTAGACCCTGTACCAAATACACACCAAAAAAGAGAAAAAAAAGAAAAAAGTATCAGCACAAAATAATAGCTTCAAGAGGGTCCGGGTGCTGGGGAGATAGCTCAGCAGTCTAAGTGCCAGCCTGGCAAGCACAAGGACCCGGGTTCGATCCTCAGTACCACATGCCATGCCACTGTTCCAGCCACCAAAACCAGGCATGGTAGCACATGCCTGTAATCCCAATGCTGGGGAGGCTGAGACAGAAGGAGCACTATGAGTCTGAGCTGAATAGCAAGCCCCTGTACCAAATAAATAATATTGAAAATAAATAAACAAAAATAAAATTAAGTGCTTCAAGGGAACATAGCTGGCTAGCCCTGTTGGGCAAGGTGTTCAATAAGCTAGCTGTAAAAGCTATTCTGTTCTCTTGTGTCAGTGGATACTCAATTTAGAGATGAGCCAGGAGGCTCATAGTTCAACTACAAAATGTGCGGACACAAGGAAGCAAAGATTGGAGGGAAGCAACCTATAAAGCATACTAAAATTACTTTCTTAACAAAAATTATACAGTCATGTGCTGCATACTGATGGTTTGGGCAGTGATGGATGATGGCTACCACAGGGAGCCTAGGTGTGTGGCAGTGCCCCACCCAGGTGTGTGCGAGTACACTCCGGAGGAGCCACAAAATAACAAGCATCACCTAAGGACTCTTTTCTCAAAACTTATTCCTGGGGGTTAGGGAGACGGCTCAGCAGAATAAGCACTTCCCTGGCAAG